GCGACCATATAAATTAAGAAATTTTTAATCCCATTACTCGTCGTCTCGATGTGCTCAGGGAGAGCTATGGAGCACCCGTAGCTATAAAGTCCGAAATCGGCAATACCGCTAAGCCTTTGAGAAGCGAAAGCATGGTGAAGTACACTCAGATCAGGACCATGGATTGGATGCGGATTTGCCATACAAGAAGAACGTATGGAAGAGAGCCTTTAAATCTAATGCTTTGGCTCGATGGTACCTACGATCGTACACATCTCGTAATAATGATACGACGTACGACGTATATAGGCATAATGATAAATGGTTCTTCGGTGTTGATGAAATAGATTTTCTACCAGGTGGGAGCATCCGAGTTGGCAACTACACAGTCCGTGGCACCCCCGGACTATACGAACTTCTATTTAGCAGGGAGCCCACGGAGTTTACGGAATCCGACCTCCTGGAATACAATACTTGCTCGAACTCATGCACGCACTTAACCAAGATAATGGTCCCGAAATTTGTGTTTATAAGGACGAAGATCACGAAACAATCGTCTTTCTCGCAGACCTCTTCAGCGGCCTAGCATTAAAAAGCAGCAAAGGTTTGAAGAAGATAGACGACGGAATGAACATCGATTACGTATTCTAGCACTACCCGAACGAGTTGGTGGATAGGCTAAAACTACTGCTTGCTTCGTAAAGTGTTGGAAATTACTCCCAAACCAACGAGATTGTTTCAATCAACGAAGAACTTAAGGAGGCGAGCTACATACGTTGCGTCGATTCGTCATCGTCAGCTTCAAGTGGTGGTGTTTCCCTGCCCACTTAAATTCTTGGTTCGTCGAGGCGGACATCGAGATTTAAACATCGAAGGTTAATAAACGTGTGTATTTAATTATGTGTACAATTCATTTTATGTAAAAATTAATATGCTGTGTTTTATTTCAAAAAACATCCCCGCTTTATATATAAGAATAAAAAATAAATAAATATGGCAATATAGTAATTTGCAGGAATGGTCAATGTCGCCATTCGGTACAGGCCTATAACACGTGGCATAATCGATACTACATTATGTGTTGAAAAACATAATCTAACATGGAGGGTATGGAACGAAGGTGACTAATTAGCTAATTAAAAACATTGGCGGGTGTCGACAGTGAAACATATACTTTAAACATATACACAAATATGAATGTCACCTGGTCATACATAGGTGATGTAAACATATGAAATATAATATCGTTGTCGCACGAAGGTAAGATGCAAACTAAAAAACAAATTATATCTAAAAAAAAAAAAAAAAAAATTGAGGACTGCACTTAGCAAGATGGCTGCCTCCCAGCACGGCAGCCTCTATTAACATGCAGGTATAAACAAATGACGCATACCAACCGGGCAGCCTCCAGTAACATGTATAAACAAATGACGAACGAAAAAATTAAGATGGAATGAGTATAGGTAAGGGGAGACAGTCGTCTGCTGTTGGGATGGAACAAATGTGACTATTGGCGGTGCTAGGGGACCTTCAGAAATGTAAGCTTAAAAAAATTCGAAATTTTAAATAAAATTTCTTTTGCGATTTTTTTATTCTGGCATTTTCAAGGTCAAGGTCAAATGTCAAAGTCATGCTCTTCTGGCTCGGGGTCACTGAGCCCGGCCACCTCGGTCGCTGATCCCTAACCTTGGGGTCACTAATCCCTCTCGCCTGCTCCGGGAATAATAGGATTTTTTGAGGGAAAAAGATAAAATTGTAAGGAAAAAGCTAAATTCTTATGGTATTTTAGTGGTTTTTTTTTAGGGAAAAGGAGAAATTTTGAGCGAAAAAGGGGGAAAAAGATTGCGGACGGGTGACATAACATCATGGCGGCGTCCGAATCCTGCCAACCTATGCCAGACGCCGAAGCGCCTCAATGCTTTTTTCCTTCTACTGTGACTGAATTTCAATTTTAAGTTGCAAATTCTGTTGTGAGTTTTAAGACTGAATTTGATTTCTCAAAGTATCGTTATAAGAAATAAATCGCAAATTTGGTTTTTAAAAATGTAATTCAACTTCTAAATTTTGTTGTTCAAAATGTGATTCTATTAGCGTGTTCATTACATGAATAATATTTATCAACTTAGCAGATTGTCTTCGACTCACTCTTCAGCATTCATTCCAGAATTATCTGTGATATTAGAGTCCGAGGGAGTATGTTTGACATTTTCGTTTGTTTTGACATGAAAATTTTCGTCCATGTTTCTTCTATGTGTTTCTGCCGTTCGATTTGCGTCGTCCATGTTCACGTCACACGTTCTACTTCGTAACAAATATGGATCTCGATAGTGGCTAAATGACATAAACGAAATTTACCAGTCTTCATGTTGTTTTTAGTGTGGAATAATCTGCAGAACTATGTTCTAGTCTCCACCACGTTGGGTAGACACCTATTTTGCACTCTATAGGTTTGATTTATTTTATGTGTATAGGCAAGAAAAATGTGAGGCCTCTGCACGATTATTGGCACAGAAAATTTTACAAAAAATATTTTCTTCATACAAAATAATTGATAATGAAGATGTATATTGTAAATTTAATTTGACAATGTTTAACATCCACCAAGGGAAAAGTGTATTTGTGTTAATTCTCAAGTAACATAAAAAAGAATTTTAGTTAATTAAAAATTCTTTGAGGTTTTTAGCCAAGATATGAGATATTGTGGTTCAAGTTCAGCAGATTATTACACAAGTCTAAAATCTTATTTGAGAAATCTTCCTGGGTCGACTCAAGAAGACCTTGACGAGTCTTGGATTAAACCACACCGGTCGAATTCACCAGGTGTGGACCACTCTCACACACAGATTCACTCTTGCCCATCTCTTCCTTTACAAAATTTTTAATAATTTCCGCTAATCCTTTGGCAACCAATTTCTTGCCTAACAATTCTGTAAATATATCAAATGAAAAATTTGGGCTCAAATGTTACAGCAAGAATTAAAATTAATTAGTGCTTTAATGAATAAAATACTGATATTTATAAGTAATTACAATATCTTGAGAGACGAAATTAAAATTACTACGGAAAAGGTTATTCAAAATAATTTTACATATAAGTCACTTATTTTACAAATATATATATATATTTTTTTTTGCGATTGGGGCAGCGGTGGCTGAGCGGTTAGCCTGCTCGCCTCCCACCAATGCGATTCTGGTTCAATCCTGGCCGGATCAGTCCCGATTTTCGCATGTGGGAATCGTGCCGGACGATGCCGTTGGTCGGCGGGTTTTCTCGGGGATCTCCCGTTTTCCCCACAATTTCATTCCGACGCTGCTCCACACTCACCTCAATCACACTCGTAGGCTCTCAAGACCTTGATGTTAAGAGCCATCTAAATATCTCCACTTCACTTTAAGTGTTACACATCATACATCTGGAAGCACTAAAATTACACTGTAAAAAATTTTCCGGTAAACTTTCTAAATTGTAATGGATGTTTTTAACCTATACACTGTATGGAAATAATACCACACATCAAGCTGCAAATACAGGAATGTTTAGCATTGCTACTATACAAAGCTGGGAACTTCCCTATGCTTTGACTGTTTCCTGAGCAAACGTAGGAACGCTACAATGAATGTATAACGGAAAACATTACCATTCCTGCTTTCTCACTCAGCATATACACTGGTATGGCAAATTTCTGAATAATATCTTGAAGTATATTTATATATAATCCAGCGTTAAATTATTTTATTTATTTACTGTGCGCAATTTCTCTATGCAATAGCATTATCTATCGACGATTTAGGAATGCTGTGCAAATTAATAGTAATATAAAACATATATAATACGCACGATTACTCATATTCAACGAAAATTATCACATGTTAGAAAGTTTCTAAAGCTCTAAATTTAGTTGCTCTTAATTACCTACAGTACCACAAATCATATATAAGTTCGTTAATGTGTTATCTGTGGAACACAATGTTCTGATTTCGAATTCGGAATATATCATGGTTGCGTGTGTGTCTCATTCTTATGGTCCTTAAGATCAATTTGGTTTGAGTTCCCAAACAACTAGTCTTCGAGAAAAATGCGATGGCATCACTTATCACAACAAAATAATAAAATGTAATATATCTCTGTTACATAATTTAATAAATCTAGAAGTTCCACAGTTAGGACATTGTACGGTATGGTGCTGGTCTTTCCTTTATTGAGTGCGAATTGATATATGTAAACACTACCTTTATAAATCTTAATGCACTTGTTCAAAATATTTTTCGTATAGATTAGGATTTTCGCTCTACAGTAAAATTGTTGAAATGAAACAGTCGAAAACCATAACCATAATCAAACAGAATATTCTTAAAAATCAAAACATACAATTATAGGCTATTAAAGGGTAAAGTGAGCACTTTTGAAGCCCTAGTTACTTTTTCCTTTCAGCCATTTATTATTATTTAATTGCCTTTTAAAATTAATATATCCATGTAAGTAATAAACACCGAGAATATATTCCATTTCACTCGGAAGTTCACGTCTAACGTTAAAATACAAAAAAAAATATTTTTTTACTATTATTCCAATTGAGGGGGCTTTCGAAAGTGCTCAATTTACCGTGAATAGCCTATACTTGCAATATCATTGCATTTTAAGTGCGCGGTGGTATGAACAAGATTAATGGGACGTTAATCTTTAACATGTGTCTCCGTAGTATACAAAAATCTCTTTTAATAATTATAGTAAAAAGTATAAAAAAAATAGAAATTTACAACAAGAAAGTTTCGTATTTTTTAGTAAAAATGTGTAAATAAAATTAGTTCGACAATAATAACGATAAGGTCTCTAAAATAGAAAGCATAATCATGTCCAGCACAGCTTCCAATTATTTCTTATTTTTCCACTGTCCAGGCCATAACACTCACTATAGGTATTAAATGCTGAACAGCCATAAAGTTGTCTAAATATCATAAATTAATGGCTATGACTAAATTAAATTCCTTAAAAATGTAATTCCGCCAGTTGTACACATGTTGGCGGCGTATCTTAGGTGGTAGAGCGGTCGCTATGCACGCGAGAGGAACCAGGGTCGATACGTGACGCCTCCAAATAACATTTACTTCTAACGTGAAGTGCATATTCAGTTTCGCTTTTTTAAGGGCACTGCTTACTCCAATTCCATCGTATTTTGTGACAATTTTTTTCTATATTTGTTATAAGTCACATTTTTGAGTTCACAAATATTAAAAAATACTAAAGTAACCTACAAAGAATGCATTGATTATCATGGCGCAAGGGCGGCGGTAAACTGTCAGAGCTATTCATGCTCTGTCATTCCGGTGGTCCGGCGGCCATTTTCCGCGATATTGGATATCGGTAACTTTGACCTTGAACATTGAACTTAACCCCGGTGAATTTTGACCTTCAAAAAAATATTTAAAAAAATCCACAAAAAATTATAAAAAATTATTTAAAAACTATTTTTACTTTTTCATTTATAAAGTTGTTATTAATACTTGTATTACTAAAAAACCAATTGCTATTTAAATTATGAAAAAAACTTACGTTTCCGGAGGATCAACCATTACCATGTCCAGCAAACAACTGAACCCCTTTTCTTCAATCACATTGCCTTAACATTCCTCTCCCAACCCCTTCCCTTAAATCATTCTATTAAATGCACCCATCTTGGTTTTATGATTGTCATTGCTTTATACGTTGTGGGAGGCCGCAATCTTGGATTTCATGTATTTACTTTTACAGCACCTAAATGGCGCTAATGTATTAATAATAGATATTACCACTAGGTGAGCTGTCGTAGACACCAGTTGGCAGTCATTTTTGTTTATGTATTTTTAACATATGCGTGGAGCTGTCGGCACCCTCCACAATGCCAAATCAATACAGAGGGTTTGACGTCAGACCTGAAAGTCAGCCATATTGGTTACAACAGCCATCTTAGCCACCATAATGAATCCAAGGGACCTTGAACTTGATTTTTGCCCTTGACCCCAATGACCTTTGACCTTAAACCTAAGAAATCGCAACAATTCTAAAAATGACCAAAAATATTCCAAAAAAATTCCTTACAAACATACGTAAATTATAAAATTTAAGGAAGATATTTATTACAAGAAGAAAAATTTTATTTTAAAAACTTACACTTATGGAGATTCCGTGAACACCACACCCAGCAGACGACTAAAATTCGTCAAAATTTCTCATTGGTAAATTAGCCGTTTCCTCTCTACTCCCACCACCCATGTTTATTTAGGTTAATTTCATGTGTTCGCTTCAGCACCAAACAGTTTTTTTTAATTGTTAGCTTACTCATATTGTTCGACACGCCACCAATGTTTCTCATTGTATCTGGATATCGTTCATATAAATGGTGGTTAAATGTTCCTAATTTTTTCATTAACTTAGTGTGCTTCGAGAATTACATTACTGAACTATTCCGCATTTTCTTCCACTTGATTTACAATTTCTTCCATAGCTGTTTCATTTTTAGTGATTTGTAATTTCAGCAAACTGTATTTCTAGTTTTCATTTTATTTAACACTTATGTAGTTACCATTACTTTAAGTTCGGCCACTTATGTGTCTACCTGATTTCCACCTTTATTTGATTTTTTTCAAACCTCGCATTAATTTGTTCAATCTGATGTCCTAACCGAAAATTTGCCATGTCTATTTGTGACTGAATTATGATTTTAGGTTGCAAATTCTGTTGTGAGTGTTACGATTGAGTTCGATTCCCAAATTATTGTTTTAAGAAATAAGATGCGTATTTTGTTGTTCAAAATGTGTTTCAAGTTGTAAATTTTGTTGTTGAATACATTATTCTACGTGCGTATTCATTATCTGAATAATGTTTATCAACTGAGCAAATTTCCTTTGACTGTCATTTTCAGTATTCATTTCAGAACTATCTGTATTGTTAGAAACGTTCAAGGGAGTAAGTTAAAAATTTTCGGTTGTTTTGACGAGAGAATTTTCGTTCATGCTTTCTGTAGTTTATACATGTTTTTCTGCCGTATGATTTGTGTCGTCCATGTTCACGTTATGCATTATACTTTATAACAAATATGGATCTCGGTAGTGACTAAATAACATAAGAGAAATTTACAAATCTTTATGTGGATTTTAGTGTGGAATAATCTGCTGAGCTATGTTCTGGGCCCCAACACTTTGGGAAGACACTTCTTCTGTCTATAGCTTTGTTTTTTTTTGTGTAAAGGTATAAAAAATGTGAGGCCACTGCATCATAATTGGTACAGAATACTTTTACAATAAATTTTCTACATACAAATAAATTGTTGTTGAAGATAGTTATGGCAAATTAAATTTGACAATGTTTAACATCCAGCTAGTGTAAATTGTAGTTATTTTAATAAGCAAGTAACCTAAATAAAGATTCCAAGTTAATAAGAAATTCTTTGAGGGTTTTAGCAAACAGAGGAGATATTGTGGTTCAAGTTGAGCAGATTATTACACTAGTCTTCCACGGCCGACTCAAAAAGACGTTGACGAGTCTTGGATTAAACTTCACCCGTCGAATTCACCGGGTCTGGGCCATTCTCACACATAGATTCACTCTACAGGCAAATGTTGTGGATAACCGAAAACTTTTGATATTAGACGTTAACACAGTAGCATGGCTCTTCTCTTCCTTTACAAAATTATTAACAATTTCCATTAATATTTTGGCAACCAATTGCTTGCATAAAAATTCTATACATATATAAAATAACCATTTGAGCTTCAGTTTTACAGCAAGAAGTTAAGAAAATTTGTGCTTTAAATAATAAAATATTTATCTCTATAAGTCTACTGGAAGTCTGCAAGTTTTGCGGGCTGTACCTCTTGCTGCATCGATGGGTACCGATTTGACAGGTGATAATGATGAGACAGTTAATAATTAATATGAAATGAGTGTCTGTTTGTGTGGAATGTACACTTGCAAGACTAACGCGTTAAGTCGACGAACATACAAATAAACGGTCGTTGGCTGTAAATACTGATGAGCATACAACTCCTGCTAAAAATGAAAGCAAATTGTATATAGATAATAAAACCGGAGGTGATGATGATCATGAAGAGAGTATTGATGGAAATGAACTTGAATACAGCGATCATACTAAAAACGAGGATTATTATTTTATCTATACACTGACACACCCCTCCAACACATTTTCTGCAAACAAGCGACATGAATAAGGTATAAGATGCAGATAATACTGGCTACCTATTTCCCGAAGACACAAATGAAATTGCTGATAGACTCAGATATTTGATTGACCTACAAAAACTTGGGGATCTCTCACACATTATTGAAATATCTTCAATCATTAGCAAACTAAAGGTGAGGTGTTATATCACATGATGTAATGAACTGCCGTCTTAAGAAATTGTAATTACAAAATAACAATACATTAGTATTATAAAATATTTCTTTTTGTGTCATATCCTTTTTTTCCCTCGCATCTTTAAAGTGGTGCTATGAGCTTTCGACTACCAACGGAAAGATATGCATATAGAATGATAATAAAGAATTTAGTATAGAAATGCATTAATAGTGAACAATATACCAAACATTAAGTCTGTCATCATGTACGAATTTTGGAGACAGTCGGGAAATACTTTTCATATAAATTTGTATGGATAGAGAAGACAAACCCATGGATAGAATATGGACTCATGATTAATGGAAATATTGTGAACGATTTATGGAAATATCGTGAAATATTGATTAAAAATAGCGAAAGACTAATGAAAATATTGTAAAAGATTGATGGTAAGATTGTGAAATATGATAGAAAGTTTGTGGAAGTTTGATGGAAATTATTGTGAATGATTGATGGAGATATTGTGAAATATTGAAGGAAAGCTTGCGAAAGATTGATCAGAAGATTAAAAGATTGATGGAAATATTCGAAGATTGATGGAAAGATTGTGGAACATTGATGAAAATATTGTGGACGCTGGTTGCGATACTGATTGAGGTGCTGATTGTGGTGCTGATTGCGGTGACGATTCATTGAAAGATTGCGAGACAGATGGAAAGATTGATGAAAAATCAAGACTTTCTTAATTTTTAATTTTTAAACATTTTCTTAGAATATTTTGGATTTTATAAAAGTTTTTAGAATTCTTTTGGGTGCAAGGTTATCCGAGGTCATGGGCACAAGTCCAAGGTCACAGATGTGAGGTCAAAATGAAGGTCATCCAGATCTAATATTTAGGTTGGCGTTATCAGTGCCACCTATGTATTAAAAATGTAAACAAATGAGAAACTAATAAACCAATATGGTGGGTGGAGTGCATTGACAGAATGAGCAAAGGTGAGTGGGTAGGGAAGGGGAATGTTAGTACAATGTGATTGATTGGAGGGGGGAAGACAGCCGTCTGCTAGACATGGTGCTGTGGTGTGGGGGAACCCTGCAAATATAAGTTTTGAAAAGTAATTTTAAAAATTAATTTCTAAGATTATTTTTAATGGATTTTTTGTAAATTCTTACAGAATTTATGGGATTTTTTAGTAATGTTTGGGTTCAACGTCAAAGGTCATCAGTGTCAAAGTCAAGTTTACCTGGATATAATATGACAGTCGTAGTCAGTTATGTAATATACTGACTAACTGTTATGAATTTATTCAATTTTTAGAATTTTTCCTCGAGTTTGTGTTTTCAAGATCATCCAATTTCACGGTTATAGGGTTAAAGTCATGAGTCAATTTAAAGGTCACCTAGGTCCAAAATGATGGTTGGGTTATGTCATAACATGGTGGCTGGTCGGTTCCAGTCCTTAGTCCCTCTAAGCCAGAAAAAAATCAATTTCATAATTTTTATATACATTTTTAAATATTTTCTTTATACATATCTGTGAGTTCTTTGATTTTTTTTGGATTTTTGGGAATTTTTGGGAATTTTTGAGTTCAATATCAAAGATCACTGGGTTCAAGGTCAAAGGTCAAGGCGAAGGTCACCTACATTCAACATGATGGACAAGATTACTGACAGAACCAAGATAGCTGATCGTGTATCGATTTCACATATTCTATCCCTATAAAACCAATATGGCCCTCACTTCTCTGCCCTTGAGATGTG